TTCCTGCTCTAGGATTGCAGCATTTCACTAAACTGTTTTCTGTGGTTTAAGTATATTCCAACAAGGTAAAATAGCTGTTTCCTCAGTTTTACCCTTTCAAGTATGTATTGTGGGTATAGCTAAACCAGACTCTACATTTAGTTCTGATGTAAATATGAATTCTTGACATGAAACATCACATGCTTTTATTTCAGGGATAACCTCCATTTCAGCTAATCATGGGAGAAATTAAAGTCTCTCCTGATTATAACTGGTTTAGAAGTACAGTTCCCCTTAAAAAGGTATGTATGGTTTTACTACACTTCTTATTTGCAAAGTCTTGTATTGTTTTTGTGTGTGATTTGGATGTTATGTCTTAGTAACGTTTGAGAGTAAAGGTTGCCAAGTATCATGACTCTGGGTTGCAGAGCATAAAGTTCACCCTTTCTCTGTCAAGTACAGTCAACTTTTGAGACTCATTCAAGAGCAAAAGTGAGTAGAACTATACTCATTTTATAATTGCTTTTACATATTCAAGCAAGCAAAAATATGTATATTCTTCTGTATGGTTTAGTGGAAAGCTTACAGTAACAGCAACTATACAATAAATGCAGTCATATTCTATTATAAAGCATTTTTCTGTTCCTTAGATTTAAGATTTACAATGGGTCACATTATAGATCCTCTGTTTTCAATGATACACTCACTCTTTAATAGTCCTCTTCCGGAAACTTTATTCGCCTAGGATGTCCAGAAACCCCAAACGCTTATATTGAAATTTGACTATTGACTCTAGGTCCCAAATTAATTTTAAATGTTTGGAGATCATACCAGACAAAGGCTGTTCAAGTCACAGCTTAAAATTTTTGCTGATCCCCTTGCAAAAGTATGATCTGGAGATCATCTGTGTCTCTGTTATTATTTCGTCAGGGTAGACAGCTGTGGAAGTACCATGCAAATTTGAATTAATAACAAAATTATTCTCCATTTAGGAATTTTGAGATACAGTTTTCCAAGTATAGACAGAATACCTGCTACATACTTGGCACTGTTGCAGGAAGGCCCTGGATATCTTACTTAAGCGTACAGCAGTTTAAGAAAGTGGGTAGCGATGTACCCATTTCACAGATGAGAAAGCAGATTCTCAGAGGTTAACGTGGTAAAGGTCACAGAGCCTGGTAGAGTGGGTAGAGTCTGGATTAAAATCAAATTAATCTAAGCAGCCAGAAGTACTGGCTGCTTATCAAAGGGATCCCTCTCCCTTCTTGCTACCTGAGAAGCTACTGCCCATACTAAGGGGAGAATTGGCCCCTGGAGTCCCTCTGCCTTGTTTCATCCCCTCAAGATAACTTGTGTGAGCTCATCTTGGTGGACTCACTCAGCAAGCTGATCACCAGACCCAGAACAGCACAAACTTATCTAAGTATTCTTATAAGCAGTTATAGGAAGTTCTTTTATTGATGTGATTTTCTCCAGTTGCCAGGTCAGTTGGTCCACAAGTCATAATAAGTTTGCTTTAAATTTCATGATACTAGATTTTAAATTATCAAACAGATATTGTGTCTTCTAAAGGGATTCTGACAAAATTCTCAAAGAACTCTGAGAAAGTTGAAGTGATAACTTTTAAGTATTTATGGCTTATATTTAGAATGTATTATGTCAATTATATCTTAATAAAACTGAGGGGATGGGGATAGAAAAAAATGCTAATTTTGTTACTTTTCTTCTAAAGTGGATTATCGTAATAATTTTCTAGAAAATTTTAGAGTGCTGAACATCTTTTCTCATATGGATTTTATTACTATAAGATTGAGATTTGCTGTGTATACTCTCAAAGGCCTTTGAGAGATTTTTACCACAATCACAGCAAAAAGAAATGTGAAAAGCAAAAATGTGAGTGGCAAAATACAAAGGGCAAAAAACATGAGCATGAAATATTATTGTGACCATCTGTAACCTGGGCCCTATGGGCTTTGCCTTGCCCTGTTTTCTGCTCCCACTGACACTAGTGATCCTGGTTAGGGTGTTGCCACCCAGAGTAACACCATGGGGCCCCACAGCACTGCCAACTAGGAGAGCTCAGAAAATAGAACCTGGAGGCCTTGAACTTTTTAATGTAAAATTAGGATAAATGTTGATTTACATTGGCAAAAGTTCAAGCAGTTAATGTACTTTTCCAAATACCACCAAAAGTCAGTGAAAGAAAAAAAAATGAACTACCACACAGAGAATAATACTAATAGCTAACACTTATTGAAAACTCAGTATCTGCCAAACTCTGTTCTGAGCATTTGACTTGTCTCAGCACATTTAATGTTCATTGTTTTCTCTGTTGTGTCAAGAACCATTAAATCAGGAGAGTTTCTGATGACCTTTCTTCTTTCTACCCACTTTTCCCCAAAAAGCCAGTTTTTCTTGTGCCCACTCCCCACACTGGACCAAATGATTTGAAACATTCTCCTAGGACAATAACACCTATACTTGCCTCATCCCTCCTCTCTAGCAAGTCTCCCTTTTGGAAGCTTGGTCTAGATCTGGTTCCTGAAGCATCTCCTGAGTGGTACCATCTCTACCCAGTTCCTCCCTAGAGCCTGGAGTTTTGCCTCCTCCTCCTGTTTGCACTTTGACCCTGCTGGGCCAGCACTGGAGAACGACTGCAAATTGCCCTCCTACATGCTTGCATGCGCACACACGGCCAAAGTATAGGGAAGAAATAAGATGCTCTGTACAGAGTTTACTGTTTAATGGTAAACAGAATAGGCTTCATATAATCATGGATGGAGAGGAAAATTAAAAACTGATAGAGAAAGCAGCTCTTTGGAAGAGTGTAAAGCAGTTCTGTGGAATTTTTCCTTAGCATTGAAGAAGGAAAAGGAGACCAAAGCAGTTTATTATACATGCTAGTCTGGTGTGATCCCCAGGTTACCTTTTAACAAACAAGCCAGTGGTATTAAAATTGTCAGCAAAATTATAGTGTCAAGTTAACAGTACAAAAAACAAATCCATAAAATTTTTTATATTTTTCTTATAACTTTCCTTCAGATTATCGTGGATGATGATGACAGTAAGATATGGTCACTCTATGATGCAGGTCCCAGAAATATCAGATGTCCTCTCATATTTCTTCCCCCTGTCAGCGGGACTGCAGATGTATTTTTCCGGCAGATTTTGGCTTTGACTGGATGGGGTTACCGAGTTATAGCTGTAAGTATTATTGATTCAGTATTACATTTCAGGTCCACATTTTGTGGTTTTTGTGCCTCTGTTTCTGATCAGCTGTAGTAATGGCCACTTTTTTTTTTGAGGTAAGATATTGTTTTCCTTTTTTAAAATGTGAACTGAAGCCTTTTGAAGGAAGGATGACACAGACATGGAGAGATGCAAAGAGGACACGCCTCTGTTAGAAGCCTTCTCTACTCCCAGCTTTTACGTACATTCTCTCCTATAACTCTTCTCACACATCTGATTGGTAAGAAGCATTGTCCTTGCTCATAGATGAGGAAACTGAGGTCCAGGCCATTTTAGAGATCACTGCAGGTCACACAGCCAATAAGGTGGTAGAGGGAGAACTAAGCTCAGCTTCAGAATCCATTTCCTCTCTTCATTTATTACACCATTGCTTCCAAATAGAGCTGAGCATGGAATATCAGATAGCGTAAGGATCTGCTGACATCCAGATGACTGAAAGCTTGCTTTAATGTAAATCTTTGGCAGTTGAAGTGAGATTCATTAATTAGCTCATATCCTTAGTATTTGGTTAAGAAATTTTTGGTTTCTAATTGTTATTTTATCACTGAGTTTGGTCTAAATCAAGTTTCCCATTGATCATTCTTGAATCTCCTCTGGGAGAAAGGTGTGGGTAGTGAAGGCACTGTTGCTTGTGACTGATTTTCTGGCACGCCTTGACTGTGTAATGACAATGAAGGTTGGTCTCCTAACTTCTGAGGAAGAAGAGACTTTTGCTTTGGAGCTGGCACTTGTTTCTGGGACCTGGAATATAAGCAGATAAATGGTATTTCCTGTGGGACTACTGCCATTATCACACATTTTATTTACTATCTGAAAGAGGGAGCATGTGGACCGTATCTCATCTCTTGGAAGGTAACCAAAAATTCTGCTGAGGTCACCACCAACTGGGGCCACACAAAACAAATCCAATTCCTCTTCCTCCTGACAGCCCTTTTCTTTCTTGAGAAAACTGATTATCAGCGCTGTCTGCTGTCTTCTCCCGGGTCATCTCTGGCTAAATTTCTTCAGATTTTTGAACTATTTCTCATATGACATGTTTGAGTCTCTGTGACACAGTCCTCACTTGTGTTTTCCATAGTCGCTCATTGTGGACAGCATTCCATGAGAACAGGGTAGTAACTACCCTCATCCCAGCCCTCTGCAGCCTAAGATGTGATAGTGCCTCTCCTGGTGGCCACTGTTGATCAGCAGCCCCCAGGTGTCTGGCCCACTTTAGAGTGCTGTTGAAAACCGACTGTTTATCATTCCAAACTGGCTGGTCACAATAGCCTTACCTTCTGGCTGGATATTTCTTCTTGCCCTTAAGCTTCTTGATGTGGGCTTTCCCTATTTCATTAGCTAGATAATGAATCAAGAAAAGGCCAAACAGTGTCTTTAAAATTACTTTGTCCTTAAGATTTGATCAGAATGTCTAACTTCATGAGGTTTTAAAACTTACTAGATATTAGTGTCAAGCAGTTAAAATACGCAGATCCTTTTTTCACTTAAATTTTTAAATGAAATCTATAATTCACATACAGTTGTAAGAAATAAGACAGAGAGATATCTCTTTTATACTTGGCCCATTTCTCCCAATGGTAACATTTTGTAAAACTATAGTACAATATCACAACCAGGGTATTGATATTGATGTAATCCATCCATCTTATTCAGATTTCCCAGTTTTACTTGTACTCAGTTGTGTGTGTGTGTGTGTGTGTGTGTAGTAAGTTATATACAATTTTATCGCCTGTCCCGGGCACAGATATTTTAAATAAAAAGTTTTATAAAAATAAAATCTCCCTTCTTTTAGGCTATCATCTGACTCAAATTCTCAAATTTTCTGTTAGGTAGAGTCTGTTCTCCATTCTGTCTCAAAGCAGAATCTTATCCACAAATAGAATTTTAATAGTAAAAGTAACACATTACATCAAATCTGAAATTATCTCATAATTTACATGGCAATATTTATTCTAATGATTAGTGACGAAATGGATCTAAGTACTTAAATCAACAAGCCTGTTAGGCAGGTTTTACATATCAAAGAGAGGGGAATTCTTAGGTGACTTGATGACTTGTATTTCTTTTTCTTCCTCATCATTCACATTAATAGACAAGCTCCTTAGGGTCAAGCACCATACTTTTTTGGTGCTTGACCAAAAGTTCAAGAAATCAGACAGACTGACTAAGTCAATTAAAAGAAAAGGAGCAATTTTATTGAATACGCCCTTAAAGAAATGCTACCAAAAAAAGACGGAACTCTCCTTTGAACAGATTTTATTTCTAGTTCTCTTGATCCATAGTTCAGAATGAAGTTGGATTTAAGGGAAAACAGTATTTCTTTACTTGGATGGATTCTGCTCTGTGCACTCTTGAACTCAGATTTTCTTAGCTATTTGGAAAAGAAATTGATGTGAATTGAAATTGTTATTCACATGATATCACTAGAGTGTGCTTACCTTTTATTCTCCATAAAATAGGTCTGTTAGGTAAAATGTAAATTTTGAAGTGTAGGAGAATGTCAGAGCTTATTTTCACATATTTTGAATAAGGAGCAGAGCTTGAGCAAATGAGAAATGCTATTATGGGAGTCCTAAATTTTTCAGATACACATTTTACCTTTAGAGCTTCTAAAATAAAATTTAAAATTTGTTATTTCAGTTGCAATATCCAGTTTATTGGGACCATCTTGAATTCTGTGATGGATTCAGAAAGCTTTTAGACCATTTACAATTGGATAAAGTGAGTACTCTGAAACTAATTACTGACATGTGATTTTAATGCAACATTTACATTGTAAAGCCTGTTGTTGTCTTTTTTATTTTTTAATAGAGCTCTTTTGAGCTATAATTCACATACCATACAATTTACCTTTTTAAAGTGTATGATAAAGAAACCCCATACTCAGCAGTCGCTCCTTACCCTTCCTCCCCACAGCCCTGGCAACCTACTCTACTTTCTGTCTCTATGCACCTGCCTACTCTGGATATTTTATATAAATGAAATCATACAATATGTGGACTTGTCTGACTGGCTTCTTTAATTCAGCATAAAATTTTCAAGGTTCATCTGTGTTGTAGCATTTGTTAGTACTTCATTCCTTTTACTTATCAAATAATATCCCATTGTATAGATATAGTACATTTTGTTTATCCATTCATCAGTTGGTGCAATTTAGGATTGTTCCCAGGATGTTTGGCTATTTTGAATATCACTACTATGAACGTTCATGTACAAGTTTTGATGTGGACATATGTTTTCACTTCTCTTGGGTATGGAGTAGAATTACTAGAATCATAGTTTCCTTAAACATAAACTGCTAAGTGGTTTCATTTTCTAATGTAATCTGTGAACAATATTTTGTATAATTTATATGCACAGTTGTATTGTTTTATTGATAAATGTATAAATTCCATTTAAATACAATACTTCCTAAATTTCTAACTTCTGTAGCTGTTTTAGTCTATTGACTAGTAGTGACTTTCTATTCTGTGGTTGATGACAAAACAGTTTTTTTTAATATTTATATTCAGGATTGATCATTGTTATAGAGTACTCCTTGTGTTTGTTTACAATTAGGTTCATCTTTTTGGGGCTTCTTTGGGAGGCTTTTTGGCCCAGAAATTTGCTGAATATACTCACAAATCTCCCAGGGTCCATTCCCTCATCCTCTGCAATTCCTTCAGTGACACCTCTATCTTTAATCAAACGTGGACTGCAAACAGGTAGGAACATAAACATTTGGCCCAAATTCTTACTATTTTTGTTCAGTGGAATTTTGGAAATGTTGGCTTCTGGGTTTTTTTGACATACCAGGAAGGAAGGTCATATCTACTTCTGTCTTCTGAAACTGCCCCGGCTTTTAAAATTAGAAATAATCACCTGTGCCAAAGAAAATAATCTAATGAACTCTGAATTCATCTATTCCTGTTACTCTAAATTATTGTTTAGATTTGTTTAATATACATTTATATGCTCTTATAGTTTCTTTTCTGTGCATGTGCATTCTTGTATTCTGCTTGTTGCATTTATAATTTTGTGTAAACAGTTCTGCATATCGACTGACAGTTTAGCTTCTCCCAATTTTTCATCGTTTTCTACTGTAAATCTTTGTACAAATTACTTCTTTTCCTTCTCTTTCTGGATTATTTCTTTGAGATTTGTTTCCCAAAATGGATTAGAGCATTTAGTCTGTCAGCAAATGTTCTGCACATCATGACACTTAATGTTAGCATGCTTTTCAGAAAGATGGAAATGGTGGAATGCTTTGTGGGGTAACCAGTGGGGTGCTTGCTTCCAAAGAGCTGTCCTTTCATTGTTTTTTTCATTTTAATTAGCCTGATAGGTATATCTAATGGTACTTAAAGCTGACTTAAATGTGTATTTCTTTCATTGCTAGCAAGCCTAGGCTCTACTCTAAAAAAATGTCCATTGACTAAACATACCTGTCTGATCAGGTTGGTTTTCACATGACATTATAAGTAAATGTTGTTTTCATGATTTTCACATCTACTTAAGATTGTAGTCTATTGTTTTTTAAAATTTTCCTGATGTTATCTTAGTAGTTCTCTCAGCATTCATGCAGCAATTTCTTGTATACGTTAGCTACAAAGTCTTCATGTCCAGATAATGCCTAAAACTCATTATTTTTTATGATTTTTAGTGTTTTAACCCATTTCCTGTTTGCCATGGGCTAACTCACAGATTATAGTTCTGACCTTGCCCCCAAAGTTTGCCATGAAATATCTCACTTTTATTATTTTTGCATCATTCTAGTGTATTGATAGTCTTTGGAAACAAATGACATCATTCTATTTATAGCATTCTGTTTTTAGTAGTGATATTTCCATTTATAAAATATAGTAATTCTCGATCACTGAAAATGTCAAATCCTAGAAAACATAGCATTCCTACGTGCGATGTTAACATCGTTCACGAAAAGTTATTAGCCAAAGATTCATTTGATGAGTCCAATTTATATATACATTTCTGTTATATTAGGATTAAAGACAAGTTCTGTTTAGAAATAACTCTAAGAACAGTTTTTATATTTTATTTTCACATTGCAAACCAATCAGATTTGCTTCAGCCTCAAAGAGAATGTTTATGTAAAATTAAAGTAATGCTGACAGTGAGCTGCACTTTTTTTTCTAAACAGGTAATGGGTCAGTTGTCAGAAGCTAAGACTGCCCTGCTTTGTGCTCATGTATATCAGCTACTTTTTATCAAATATCCTAGTGCTTACTAGGGGTAAGCATAGCCAGCAGGGTCTACCCCTAACAGAGCATACCTAGGCATCAGACCATTAGAAGATAAGAAAGCTGTGGGGGCAGGATAAAGAATTTAGAAAGGTAACTGAAAGATGACTGACTGCCTTTGTGAGGGAAGCTCAACTTCCAACAAGGCTGTTCTACTGAGAATATGTATCAGATGGTGGTCTGTACCTTTTATAAGTCATTTTCAGTATAGGCTTAGAGAAATTTGCGTTTACTCTTTATAATGGTTCTCATCATTTATAATTACTGGAATAAATATCAACCAAAAATCACATAGAAATTTATAAAGATTGAATTGCTTTGAATTAGTCCAGTTGAATCTAATAGCAGACCTTGGGAAGTACAGTTCCTCTTTTCATTTTACTATTTTGAAATATCAATCAGTCTACTTTGAAATATCAATCCAAAAGTGATATAAACCTGAAGGCTCACATCTTTAAGTTTTCAGTTTTCTAAAGGAAATAGTAGGCCAATTAGAGAAAAAAAACCTTGGAATCATCCGAATGCCTTGGTAAAGGTCTTTTGAAGTATCACTTATAATTATTTCAAATCCTCAAAAGTTTAATCATATTAAACCATAACTTTTTGGGAGCTTGAGAAAGTGTACATTAAAACAAGATACTGTGCTCTTTGAAAGAAGGGACTAGGTCTTTTTATATCCACATCCCAAGTACCTGACTAATAGAATGCTTTGGGGTGGAATGAATATTTGCCATTTATGTCTTGGAAGTTTATCAGGTCTTTGTTTTACAGCTTTTGGCTGATGCCATCATTTATGCTCAAAAAAATAGTTCTTGGAAACTTTTCATCTGGCCCAGTGGACCCTGTGATGGCTGATGCTATTGATTTCATGGTGGACAGGGTAAGGATCATGGCATTAGGGTGGGGACACTCGTACTTGGAATTTTCATATCTGCTTGGTTCCTGAAAACACATCTGTCTCATTGAGTATGTATTGGAGGTGCTTGTTAAGCAGTCCTCCAGATCAACTTTAATACATCCAGACAGATATTATTGCTGGTAACTCATCAGAATCCCTTGAGAGCTTTTGAAAATACAGATTCCAAGGCCTTACACCAGACCATTGAACTGGAATTCCTGAGCATGGGTTCTGGGATCACTGTATTTTCCTTCCGTGCCCCCTCTTTTACATCCCCCAAGTGAATCTGATGTAGCAGGTCTGTAGACTTGCATTTAGGAACTACTGGGCTAGATGACTTTTCTGAGTATATGTCTAGCTCTAAGATCTCTTAAAAGTTTATCTGCCATCTCTGAGCTTCAGGAATTGGTTTGCTGCCCACAGGCACCTGATTGAAGCAGCATTCAGGTTGAAAGCTACAGAAGGCCAGATTCCTGAAAGAGAAAAATGTCACCACCTGAGAGGCCCACTTCATAGTTGCTCAAATACATGTGTTTCCTCATCGGTGACCTTTCTGGCCCCACCACACATGATACCACCTTTATGAACACAAATATTATCTATGGATGTAGTAGAAATGTGAAAGACAAATTGATTCAGAAACTTTACCTGTTTTCTTTCTACAGCTAGAAAGTTTGGGTCAGAGTGAACTGGCTTCAAGGCTTACCCTGAATTGTCAAAATTCTTATGTGGAACCTCATAAAATTCGGGACATCCCTGTAACCATTATGGATGTAAGCTTTTTTTTTCCCCCAGTAAAAATAGATGCTTTATCTTTTTAAATGTATATGTCAAGATCTTCCTCATAATTATTTTATTATTTTTCAATGTTCTTTAACTGCTGCCCTGAATTTTTTTACCCCCTAGCTTTCTTAATCCCAAAATAATATGTTTATTGCTTATCCTATATTTTTCCTGGCAGGAATAGCACTATTGAAATCAGAATAAATTTAAACAAACATGGTTGTTCTCACCCATTTTGGTATATTTTTGCTATTCTCATCAACAGACATTGCACTTGAGTTATTACACATCTAGGCAGCAAAGAGAAGGTGCTTCAGGAGGGCAGGGAGTCAAGAATTCCATAACGTCTAATTAGTACAAAAGCTTGTTTCATGTATTTTTGAGTTGCAGTAAAATATACATAACAGAATTTACCATTTTAACAATTTTTAAGTGTACAGTTCAGTGGCATTAAGTACATTTACAGTGTCGTGCAACCATCACCATTGTCCATTTCCAGAATCATCCTAAACTGAAACTCTGTACCCATTAAACAATAACTCCCCATTACCCCCACCCCCAGCCTCTGGTAACCATGTTGTAGCATGTATTAGAGTGTCATTTCTTTTTAAGGCTGAATAATATTCCATTGTATGGATATACCACATTTTGTTTATCCATTCATCTGTTGATGGACATTTGAGTTGTTTACACCTTTTGGCTACTGTCAATAATGCTGCAGTTAGCAGTGATATAGAAATATCTGTTTGAGTCCCTACTTTTAATTCTTTTGGGTATTTACCTAGAAGGGAATTGCTGGGTCATATGATAATTCTGTGTTTAACTTTCTGAGCAACCACAATATCATCTTCTATAGCAACTGCACCATTTTACAACCCTACTAGCGATACACAAGGGTTCCAATTATTCCATATCCTCACCAAAACTTGTTATTTTCTATTTTTTGATAATAGCCATCCTAATGGATGTGAAGTGGTATTTCATTATGGTTTTGGCTTATTTTTTTAATCATATAACTACTTTATTTTGCCTCATAAAATAGATTTATTCCTAAATTCAAATATCATGGTATTTTTAAAAATTGATTTTTGTTGGGAAATTGATTTTTGTTATCCATTATGAGCATGTAAACAATAATTTACATTCTGCACTATAATCTCTACCTTATGATATTTACCATGTCACAGAGCAAGATTTTCAGTTAGCAAGTTGGAGATGCATTTTTTTTTTTTTTGCTTCTTTTAAATTACTTTTTGAAAAACTTTTTTTGCATATGTACATAAACATGTTTATATGGGCATTGAAAAATGTCTAGAATCAAACTGCTAGCAGTGGCTCCCCCAGGAAGGGTTCTGGACTTTTTCTTACACTCTTTAAATATTTGGGGGATTTTTTTTTTTTTACTGAGCATGTACTACTTATTAGCTGTTTTTAACTAACAGTAAAATTTAAAAGTTCTTTTGGGTTTCATGATATTTTTGAAATTAATTGGCATTTTCAAGAATGATTGTTCACTATTAATATTCTGCTAGTTTAGTTACCTATGTTTGAGGGAAAAGGAAATTCATAGTAGAATTTTCCTCCCAAAGAGATAGCAAGAGACGTTTGGCAGTAAAATGTGTAGCTAACATCTTAACGTTGGAGTTAAAGTCACCAGGGATCAGCAGGAGGAGGTGGCCCAGGCTGCACAGGGGTTTAGCAGTATCTCTTCATGAGAAAGAAATGCTCGGGGTGGCGCTTTCTATAATATGAAAAGGACATATTAAATACCAGTACGTTTCAGCTGTGTCTTTTTGTTCAAAGGTATTTGACCAGAGTGCACTTTCAACTGAAGCTAAAGAAGAAATGTACAAACTGTATCCTAATGCCCGGAGGGCTCACCTTAAAACTGGAGGCAATTTCCCCTACCTGTGCAGAAGTGCAGAGGTGAATCTTTATGTACAGGTAAGTCCCAGCTTGGAACCCAGAACACTTTGAACCCAAAATGTATGGTTTGAAACAAAGCTTTTTGTGTGTGTGGAGTAAAAGAGTAAGAGAACTACAGAATTCTCCGTAGGAATGAGGCATTGACTCAGTAAAGGTGGTTTGCATTAATAATTTATAGGAGAATTCGAGCAGGCATATTAGAGACACTGGGTGACTCTCTGCCCACCACCCATTTTCTAAGAATAGCAGGCCCGCTTTCACACACTGAAGTAGCCATTTGGTATGATGTAACTTTGCCTCCTGGACATAAGGAATTCAATTAGAGCAGGACATCAGACCTAAATGGTGGGGCCGGGGGGTTGGGGCCAATCTGAGTCCTGTGAAGTGACATCTTGATCTATTTTTAATGCATTAAAAAAGCACACACAAAAAAACTAACAAACACTACCACCTTTTCATCCTCTATCTAAATGAATATTAGAATAGAGTGAGAAATTATTGCTTTGGCAATTTGGCAAGAAGTATCAAGAGCCTTAAAAAAAGTCACCTGCTTTGATCTTGTCATCCACTTGTGGCAATAGATCCTAAGGAAAGGATCCTAAATACAGGAAAAACTCGATGCCCAGAGACATTCATCCTGGTGGCAGGAAGAACAGCAAAGGATGGAAAGGACCTGAGTGGCAGAGGGGGAGGGTAAACAGCTACTCGTGGAGCAGGATGCCACCATTTAAGATGTTTATGAAGACTTCGTAAGAACTTGGAGAGACTAATTACATATTAAATGAGGGACAAAGATCCCAATTGTGATTTTTTAAAAATATACTTTGACTTTTCTGTTTTCCAATATTTATCAAATTATTCTATATTAACGCTGTAATTTTAGAAGTATAAAACATATACTATGGTGACATTTAAAATAATGATTCTACATTTCTACAGATACATTTGCTGCAATTCCATGGAACCAAATACGCGGCCATTGACCCGTCGATGGTCAGTGCCGAGGAGCTCGAGGTGCAGAAAGGCAACCTCAGCATCAGTCAGGAGGAGCAATAGCTGGGGCTTTGGCTGGTAACAACGAGTGACCCCGTGTGTCCTTGTACAGTCAGTGACGCTAGTGCCCGCCAGTCGGCCTCTTTGCTCAGTTTGTCAGGCTCGCCGGTTGTCACTGTGTTTGGAAGTAGGACTGATTGCCGCCTTTGTGACAAGCGGCAGCTCTTCTAAGCCAGTGTAGTTGTTCCCTCTCGGTTTTTCTAGCTTTTGAATTTGAAGAAGTACTTTTGAAGACTCTCATTTTAAGAATTGTGAAAATTTTGCTACCAAAAGTCTTCACCTCTGTATTCTTATGTGAATGTTAATTTCCGAGGTTTGGGATTTTGTCATGTTTTTTTCCTTGCCTTTTTTTCTTTTCTTTTTGTTCTTCTTTTTTTAATTTTTACATTATTTGCTATAAATACTGCACATCCAGATTGTATATCAGAAGGACATTGGTTATTTTTATGCTTTCTTGGTTATAACAGTTACCAGAGTACCAAGGCTATCATACCACCATTTGCTCTCCTGCAAATCAACTACTAATTTCCATTTAAGCAAATTGTTTTGAGTTTTAGCTGTTGTCTTTCTAGCCATTACAGTCATTTGGAATAAAAATTCCATTTCAGTGAGTGGCTTTTGTGGTTATTATAGGTGTCCAACTGGGCTACACAGACATAGGACTTTCTGAAAAGCAGATCATGTCATTTGCCAATTTGGTATGACTTTAGGTAAGTTACTTAATCTCTCTAAAGTGCAATTTGCTCATTATTAAAAAACAGTAGCTATCTTTTATTGAGATACTATGTGCCAGGTACTTTTGATGTCTTCTTTTTTCCCCGTCAGTGCAAAATTCGAAACACACATAAAGCAGAGAAAACTACGTCCCCATCACCCAGCTTCAAAAATGATCAACTCATGGATAGTTTTATATCATCTCTTACCCCACCCTCACTTCTTCCACACATACTCATCTCATCACTGAATTACTTTAAAGCAATTTCTGATACCATATCTCATCTGTAAGTACTTCTGTATGTACCTTCAAGAGATAAAATAACCATAATGCCATGATCACACTTAAAAATTCCTTTATATTATCTAATATCTAGTCAATGTTCCCATTTGTCTTTTTATGATTGATGTTGTAATCGGCTCCCAAAGTTCACATTTTGCATGTGATTGAAATATCTCCTAAATCTCTTAAAGTACAAGTTCCTTCTCCCTCTTATTTTTTTCTTGCCATTTATTTGTTGAGGAAACAGGCTCATTTGTCCTATAGAATTCACTAGTCTGGATTTGGCCGATTGCAGCCATGTGGTGTGCTTTAACTGGTTTCTCTGTCCCTGGTATTTCCCATGAACTGGTAGTTACATCTAGAGGCTTGATCAGCTTTGGACTTAATCTTTTTGGCAGAAATGCTTCATAGGTAGAGCTGTGTGCATTCCATTGGGTAACTTTTGGAGACACATGATATCTATTTGTCTCTAAGTTGTTAAAACTGGTCAGTAGGTTGTGTTGTCAGTCTGATCTAGTCATTGGAAAATTCCCCTGATGGTTTTGCTGCCACTGCTGATCATTGCACAGAAGCATCGTTTCATTAGGGGTTACAGAACAGTGACAGTACTCTTAATTTTTATCATTCTGTATTTATTAACTGGAGTTAGCTGATTAAAACACACATACACACCCCACCCCCACCCCACCCCAACCCTTCTCTCATCAACTATTTGGTTTCTCTGAGGTACAATTTAGACAAAATCAGCGTCGATGCTTCATTCCCTCTAAGTTTTCAGAATATTGAGTTGGCCATACTTTTTCAGATTTCATCCCTACCACAACCCTGGTTAAACTGACTACAGGTGAGGTCACAGAGACGAGGAGAGATCGAGAGACTCACCACTTGGCATCACACAGTAAGGGGCAGAGATGGAATGCCAAGTTAGGTCTGACCATCCCTAAAGCCAGCGATCTGTCTCTGAAGATTACAGTGTCCTCTCTGACTGCCTGTGACTTGACAACTGTCGTGAGTCATGGAAGCATGTGATAAACCATGAAGGCAGGGCTTGCTGTTTTTAAATTAGCATTGAGGCTGCCATAGTTTCACTGTGTGTGTCTTGACTTCCTAACAATCAGGGAGCTCCTATGGGCAGGGCCTTGTCACACATGCCACATATGGTCAGAAGCCTTCACCTCAGCCGGTGCAGTAATGACTTATGGACTGCCCACACTTTTCAAAGCCTCCCTGTGTGAGCCATGACCTCTAACAGCGTTAACTATTCCCTGGCTCTATACCCCAAAGACTGCCATTTCCAGCCCTGACTGATTTTGAGTGCTGGCCAGTCTTCTACAGGCACCCCATACTCTACTGGCAAAAGCCATACCCATGTCCCCCCTGCCCAAATCTGCCCCTTCTCTCCTAAACGCTATCATCTCGGTTCTCAGCATCACTGTTCCTCAGATTCCCCAACTAGAAACACAGCCATCTTGGACCCCCATTCCTACTCCTCAACTCCCATGTCTCAGGCTGAAGCAGATGCTAAGATAAAACTTTGGGTGTAAGATGTTTATTAAGGATCAAAGGAAGAAAACTTGTAGAAGGGTAATGGATTGGGCAGAGGGAGATGTTGAGTTGTGATGCAGGCCCAACCAAGCACCAGCTGACTGGGTAGGGAGCTCTCTCGAGCTAGTAGTGCCCATTGGAATAGTCTCATAGAGAGCCGAGGTGGCCAGGCCCTCTGCACATCGGGCTCCTCACAGCCCGCCTGCCCCTCTAGCTCACTTCTCCTCCTTCCAGCTTCCTGTGTTCCAGCCACACCATTCCCCTAACAGAATGTACCACTGTATAGACTGCTTTTTGCTTGGAACATGCTTTGCCCATTTCTGTCTTCTAACCTTCCTCTCCTTTACCTTCTTCGAGGAAGAATAAATCTCATAGTTCTCTGCATACACCTGTTACAGCACCAACTGCATTATATTACATTATTGATATCCAGCCCCTACTCCCCCCACCACCCCAGACCACAAGCTTCCAGAGGACAAGAACTATGGGCTACTCAGCTCTCGTCCCTAGCTCCCGGCAGATTGCCTGGCATGAAGTAAATATTGACTACTGGTGGTGAATTTGAGCGGTTGTGGTTACATCGAACCAATCCACAACAGCTTGTCTGATTTGAAAGTTTGCCATAGAACACCCAAACGAAAGAAACGAGTACTGAATTTGCGAGACATATTTCAACATGTCGATTTTATTTAAGAACTTCCTTTTTTGTCTTGAAAAAAATACAAAATTCATTGTGCAAAATTCATCCAGATAAATGATCTAAGTCCCCTGTGGTACAAAATACCTTTCCCAAATGGAAGAGATGGAAGAGGAGGGTTTTCCACCTCAACACAGCACTTGCAGAGTAAGGGTGCCACATGGCCATGAGACTGCGTGCTATGTAGGGGTCTGAATCCTGTGAACTGTGAGACCTCAGGCAAGACACACCTCTCAGATCATCAAGTTACTGACTACAAAATGGGCTGATTTCAAAGCTTTTTCTTTCCATAAATTTTAGTTAGGTGTAGGTATTTTTTTATTAATAGAATTATTTTTTAAGTTAAAAAAATAGTAGATAGGACAGAATTCCCTTTCCACGGCAGTTTCCCTTATATTAACTTGCATTAGTGTTAGAATAATGTTTGCAGGTTTATCTGTTGGATAAACTCCTAGAGGTGGGATTGCTGGGTCAATGGGTAAATGTATTTGTAATTTTGGTAGATAATGCCAAATTCCCTTTAAGAGGATTGTACTATTGTGAATCCCACCAGCCATGTGTGATAGCTGAAGCCCCTTTCAGCTCAGTTTTTACTCTATCGCCTTCCCAGGACTCAGGCCCAATGGGTAACTTTGTGAAGTTTTTCTAAGATATGGGCTCCTTGGCTGGCTACAGCCAGCTTTGCCACATGCAAGAGAGCTCAAATTAGACAGAAACAGCTTTCAGGCAGAACTTTCAGGGTTCCTGAACAGACAGTTCTCCACATGCTGTGAAACTGTGAAGCTTCCTGAGTTACATTTCCCTGAAACCACACTCTCCTGCTGGTGTGGCTGAGCTGCGCAATAACCTGTGCTTGCCTGGCACCTAAAAGCAAAGCTTCAGACCAGCTGCACCATCCAATATGGTTGCCACTTGCCACAAGTGCCTATTTAAATTTCAAGTAATTAAAATTAAATAAAATTTAAAACTCAGTTCCTCAGTCACACTAGCCGCATTTCAAGTGCTCAACAGCCACAGGCTGGTGGCAAACATATTGCATAGCACAGATCCAGAATATTCCCATCATTGCAGAAAGTTCTGTTGGATAGTGCTGCTCCACAGATGTGAGCCTTTGTATGGAACTATTAAATATGAAGAAAATGACAGCTAAATGCAAGGTGTGACCCTGGACTGGATTCTGGTCCAGAAAAAGAACATGAATAGCTCAAATGAAAAAATTTGAATAAGGCCTGAAGATAAACTAATAGTATTGAATCAGTGTTTATTTCCTGGTCTTGGAAATTATACTGTGGTTATGTAAGATGTTAATATTTGGGGAAGCTGTATTGCGAAGAGTATTTGGAAATTACTATTTCTGCAACTTTTTTGTAAGTGAAATGATTTCAAAATAAGTTTTCAAGCTTAAAAAATTATAAAACAAGAGGGAAAAATGAGTGTGTGCCTCCTGGAACTGTCAAAGTATACAAATACACTTGGGAACAGAAACAGCTGTGGAGTAAGCACAGCATTCCAAAAGCCAGTGAATGAGTTAAGGGCCATCCATTTTGTAAGTGATGGATGGAGCCCTTCGCCAGGTAAGGGAGACAAGAATGCTGGATTTGACACCTGACCTCACCACCTAATTAGCTTCTTAGCCACTGTGAGCCCATGTTCTCTCCGAAAAGACACCCCTTGCATCTGGGGACTGCTGTGAGGCTCCGAGGAGATGATGGAGATGAAAGTAAGCTGAGAGATGTGAAGGAAAATACCTGTGGGAAAGGATTACCTGCAAAACTTGAGACAAGGCCCTGGACCGATCCTTGTGAAAAAGATTACAAACATTTGCCTGCTGGCCCTGCATGACTATGTGTTTCAGTAAGAAGCAGCTAGAGATCTGATAACAGTGATTTTTTTTTAAGCCCTTAAATGGTGGTCATCTGTTCAATGGTCCCCAGTCTGAGGTCCCATGCTCCTGAAGGTCCAGCCCCTCCAGTTACATGGCTGTGCACCTCCTGGGGGCACTCGGATCAGCATTTGCTTTCTTCCTGATGCTTTCTGCAAAAGACAAGATTCCTATTGCCTCATGCTGCCTAAGTTCTGCTGCATAAGTCTAGTTTTAGGTTTTAATAGGCTGCCATATTTGTGTTAAAAGCAGCAACAATAATATTTAAGAATATTTTGGAAAAAGAAAAAAGTCATACCTAATTCCTCCAGTCTGAAATGACTCTGTTTTCTTACTCTGCCTGTGGCAGCTGTGGAACAGCCACCATGCCAGGGGCTTTCCCTTTTGCCCTCAGTAACATGCTATCAATGTTTATTCTTGTTGCCACATGACCAGTATAGCCTTCACTACTATTGGTGACTGCCTAATACCTCATCCTGTGACATTTTATAAAGCTTCTTGCTAATGGACATTATGGTATTTAAGGCTTTGTCCATGAGCTGACCTTGTTTTTAATGAGGAATTAGTACTGGAACCTTTTATCCTGCCTGTCTGATGAGATGCCCTGAATTCCTAACCAAGCTTTGGGGATTGAAAAAAAAAAAATGTTTTTGCCCTTTTCCAAAATCTTCTTATTACATTCTGTTTGTTTAATAGCTAGGATCCAAAGGTTGTGATGGCTTCAAAAATTTTATTTGACCAGATCTGACTGGTTCAACTCATACCAAGCCATTCTGGCCCATATGTCTTAATGTTTATGAAAAAGACCTCTGCAGGCTGTTCCAGGCTTATTACAAACTAGAAAAAACAAAGTATAGAGGGCTGAAGAGGAAGAGACTGTAGCGTCGGTGGCTTTGGGGCTGTGAATGTCTTAAGGATCATCTGGGCCAACATCCTCATTACACAGAGGGGAAAACCAGGGCTGGGAGGCACCATGACTTGCCCAAGGCTCCACGTGAGCTCCATAAAAAGGCAGGGTGAGGACCAGGAATTTGGAAGGTTCAGGTCCAGCGCCACAGCCTGTGGTTTGAGTAGCCCTTGGAAAGCCCTGACACATTCCAGTGGGGCCATGCAGCTCTGACCCTGGGGCCCAGCGCTGCCCTGAGCAAGAGCTATGCAGGGGATGCTCTTACCAGCCAGGTCCCTCCTGCCAATGGCCACAAGGCCCTCGAAGAGCGCTTTGCTGGGGTTCTCACTGGTTGTAGCCATGCCATGCAGCCAGATGAGCAGCATCCGGTGGCCATGCTCCCGGTAGCTCTTGGTGCCTGAGGACCATGAAGGAAAAAGAGAGCGGGAGAAGAAGCCAACCTGGCCCACTTAGCATGAGCCAGGCCCAAGAACGTGTCTATTACACCCTGTACTGCCTCCTAAACACCAAGCCCTTCTCTGTGCTCTAGCAGAGCTCAGCACAGAGATGAGAGAGGAGGAGCAGACTCAGATGGGGGCAGGGTACAGATTTTGTATTGGGGACTCTTGAACTTCCCCCGCCCCAGGCTTTCTCCCGAGCATCTACCATGCATACTGTTAGTGTCACTCTTAAGAGAGAGAGATAACTGGCACTCATTCTTGTGATACCACAATGCACATGATTGTATGTTTTATCTCTGGCTGCTCACGATCTGTGCCTTGCATGTTAGTGGCCCTAGCCTACAGATGAGAAGACGGCTTAGTCAGAGACAGAGCTGGCCATGTCCTTTCTTCTGCACCAGTGTTTCTCAGCCATAAGTACTCATCGGGAACACCTAGGAAGCTTTAGAATATAAATGACACCTGAGTCCCCTCCACTCCCAGCGATTCCAAAGTACTTGGTTGGGTCTGGGTGCAGCCTAGGTACTGAGTGGCGTGAAAGCTTCCCAAGTGATTCCAATGAACAACCATGTTTGGAAAATAAGCGCCCACACCTCAGTGCCAGTGGTGGGGTTAACTTTTTATTAAACTCTGTGACTAGGCCTGCTGTCCCAGCTGGGGACACACACACACACACACACACACTCACACACACACGCATGCACATACACACACTCAGGCACTGATGGGCACAGCCATAGGATCCAAGTCAGTCTTTTCACTGTGTCCTCTGACTTTCTGGCCCTCAGCAGGCACTTTCTCATGGTGCTGTTCTCGGTGCGGCAGTTTCGTCTGACCCATTTATTCACTAGCCCTTGCCCCCAGCCCCGTAATTTATCAGTGCTCCTTTATTGTCTACGGAAGTTCTTATTTAAAATAGAGTTCACTTTTCACCCCCTGCTCTATTCCACTAATTGGTTTGCATATTTTGTATGTCTCTATTATTGTAGTTATATAAATAGTTGAGTCTGGTTGAGTTAGACTCTCTTCACTTCCCCCCCCACCCAGAATATTTATTTATATATTTCCTATTTATTCTTTCAGGTAAACTGTAGAATCTTTTAGTCAAGTTTCAAAAACCTCCTATATTCATTTGATTAAAATTGGATCAAAGTTTTAATCTAATTTGGGAAAAATCAATATCTACATGACACTTTTCTAGCTAAGAATACAAAATGTCATTCTGCTTACCCAAGTCTTATGGTTCACCTAATTTTTATTGTTTTACTCATGTTATTCATATCTTTTTAGAAACACACACTGTCATAAGTGGAATATCTTTTTAAAAAATATCTCTGTATATTCTGCCCACTTATTGATACATAGGAACGCTGTGTACGTATATTTGTATATTTTATCATATGTTTAGCCATTTTCTTGAATTATTTTAATCTAAGTTTTCTGTTGATTTTAGACTTCCTGTGTATATAATTATAGCATCTGAAATTAATAAATTTCTCTCTTCCTTTCCAATATTTATACTCCTTATTTCTATTTCTGTTTTGTGCCTTATTAGTACCAGGGCCAAATTTTCCAAATAGATGTTAAATTATAGTGACGACAGCGATTCCTTTCTTTTTACTGGGAATGCCTTAGTTTCATGTTTGAATGATGCATGCCGGCTCCAGATGATTCATGAAGAATATGAAGTTCACAGACCAATGGGGGAGGGAAAGGCAGAGGGCATAGCCGGTGCAAAGGCCTAGAGGAGTGAAAAAGCACTCTGTGTGTTGGAAATGGCATGTGCCTTTGTGTGGCTAGGCTGGGGTTGCACAGGCTTTTTCCCCAGAAGCACAGAAAACTGAATACATCTCAAGTGTCCCCACCCCTCTGCCCACTGGTTGCTCCGGGGTGCCAAGGCAAGGTGGTACCTGTCCACTGTTGCTCGATGGCGTAGACATGGGCCTCAGTGAACTCCCAGCAATACGCGAGCTTCTTCCATTCATGAGGCTGCAGGTACCTGGAGGCCAGTCGCCACAGCACAGAGCGGAACTGCTCTGTTTCCTGCCGATGGTCTTGCTTAAAGGTCAAGCTTTTCCTAGAGGGGTCACCAGGGTCCCTGCAGGAGAGGTGGTCCTGTGGGGCAGATCCCAAAAGTGCATCGGCCATCTGGGGGAAATCCCTGCCAGGTTCTCCCTTATGATCCTGGACTGGGAACTGGGACTGGCATCATTATGGATCTAGAGCTTACTGTCCACTACTCTGGACTCTATGCCTTGCCTTGACCTCTGGAACCTAAGCCATTCACACTGTTCCTCCATCCAGAATTTCTCTCACCTCCTTGTCCCTCAACCCCATTGCCATAGTCAAAAGACCACCCAAATGCCACCTCTTCCAGAAAGGCTTCCCAATTTCTCTTTTTTCCCTGTATTCTTACATTAAAGTTTTGGTCAACAGAATGACTCAGCAGCTGCGGCTAAAACCAAGCAAGCCAAGAACCAGGCACTGGACTTGCTGAGTCTCAATAAGGAGTGAAGGGTGCTATTATAGAATTCTTTCTATGCAAAACGGATGACAAAATGAGAGGTTACAAAAGCAATAGCATAAATTAAACCCACAAAAGCCTAAAGTAAGTGAATGAAGAGTTCTGATTGTTAAAAAGCTCACGGTGAGAAAAATCATCCTGGTGTCTGCATGTTACATCTTGGTCAACAGTGTCTGGCCAGTCACCTGTGAGGTGGTAACCTAGGAGCTTGGCTCTCACCTGGGGTGGTAAAAATCGTTTCCCTAGAGCAGTGTTCTCAGGTCCACTGGTACATTGGGGTCCTCTGAGAGCTTTAAGAACTACTGATGCTTGGTCTCCAGGCCAGAGATTCTGTTGAATTGGCCTGGGGGTAGGGAGGCAGAATTCATGATTCTAACTGTGCCTCTGCCTGACTGTTGAGAACTTTTAAAGAGTGAGGTGGCTTAGAATTAATCACAGAGATGAATCACTTCATCAAACCCTTGGTAGTAATATCTTGGGGTTACATTTAGGAGCCTCTGTTGCAAAGGAGTTGTAATGCTTATGAGAATCTAGCGTGTCAGTGAAAGAGAATATCTTATGATTCCTAGTGAAATTCATTATTCATCAATTGACTTTGGAATAGTGATTTTTTATTTGAGAGTTGTAAGTCAGTAAACATTAAAATGTCTAAGATATTTGAAGTTCACTTTATAGGTTTAATTTATTGGATTTACTAGGGTAATTTAAGCATTTAGGAAGCATTTGAAGTGCTTGAAAAGAAAATCTATTAAATGTATTCATTTACTTTAAAATGTTTACAGTAGTTTAATTAACTAAGTTTAAACATGAGACCAAACATTAATCAAAAGGCTTCCTTAAAAGTGACTGTTAAAATTTATTAGGTTGTATAATAGAATAATAAGATTTATAAAATGAATATAAAAGTTTAAGGAAAACTAGTTTCTAAATTTGTAGAAAATTGAGTATTAATTTTTAAAACTGAAGAAATGTAAAAATTATTTTCTGTGTATAAAAACAACCCACAAAGACACCAAAAAACTTCCCATCCCGTTCCCATTTGCTGATAACTGGAATAGCAA